TTCTTTTAACAGAAGTAGCTTATTCTGTCGGTGTAGAAAGAATATTTTTTTCTTTTGGACTAATTCATTCCAAATTGAGAAATCGTTTGGAACCTGAAAAAGCAGGAAAGCTTGTTTTTTTCTTTTCCAGATTATGAACAAACAGGAAAATAAAGGTGAAGATGACTGAGTTAGCTGCAGAAGCCAATATTTTCAGTTTCTCATGTTGACCTGGCTGACATAGTCAATTTAATTTTTGTGGGTTTTTTAAATATTTCATTTAACTATATTAGTTAAAAACAATTTTAACAAAAACAAACCTGATTTTTAAGAACTTGAATGTTTAACTAAATTCAAAAATTCATATGCTTCTTTTGTTAAAATATTATGTTTGCTGTTGAAGAAAAAAATCCAGAATACATAACGTTGTTGTTTTAGTTAAATAAAACAATTTAAATGTCTGTCTGGTGATGTTCTCCTCCTAATACAGCATAGCAAAAAATCCTCCAAATATAAATGATTAACCTGTTGAATTGGAGATAATTCACTTCCCAATGACTTCATAAATATCTGCTTCAATTATCTTCTGGTAAATGAAATAACCAATCATTCATTTTCTAATATAGCTGTAAAACTAATCTGAAAAGCTTTCAAAATAAATCACTTAAAAATGTATAGTCTGTACCTTCTAAAAATGAAACCAAACTATCTGAGTTGTGAAGAATATGTATTAAGGCTATAACAACCAACAAGAATGCACTTTTATGTAGAAATCCATGATTAAATCGAGTCTTCCTGACTAGTGATTTAAATCAAATCCACCCTGAAAAGTTGTTGGTGGTGACCAAACCACTCTGTGAGATTACTGGGAGAAATAGATGGGAAATTTTTTTCCCACTCTTTCAAAGATCAGTTTTAATTGTCAGAGACTTTGTCTTATTGTGTGGGTGCTTCTGGAATAAAGTACTAATTAATCATTGTGACATTTAGCCCAGCACTTATAGTAGCACTTCAGATGTTTGGCATCCAGTAGGGTGCAAGGGGAAATACTTTCCAGGAGATATTATAAGAACCTTCTAAATTGGAACCTTTATTTTAATTATGGGACTCTTATTTTGGTATAGGCTGACCAGATAGCAAGTGTCAAAAATCGGGACAGAAAGTGGGGGGTAATAGGTGCCTATGTGAGAAAAAGACCCAAAATCAGGACTGTCCCTATAAAATCAGGATATCTGGTCACCCTATTTTGGTGCAGGGTACATAGTTTAGTTTCAGGCAACGTCACTAGAAGCTTAACAGGATTAAAATGAAGGAGTGACTGGACACTATTGTTAAAGGTATGTGCTCAGATGTTTGACATCCATTTCCAGTGTTTACACAGGAATAATCTGGGAGGCACTATCACTTTTTCTTCATTGTTTTTGAAGGGATTGTGAGTATATTTGGGAAAAAAATTTTGATCACTCTCTTTTTCTTAGGAAGGACAGCATGGGGTTTATAGGCACAGGCAATCTGGATTCTGTTCCTGGCCTTGCAGCAGGCTTCCTGTGTGATGTTGGGCGAGTCGCTCAATCTTGTTAAATCTCAATTTCCTCCTAAGTAAAATACCCTCCTTGCAGCTGGGTTGGGAGGCTTAACTAATGCATGGGCAGTCACATGCTTTGAGATGGTTAGGTAGAAGAATCTATATAGAACAAGACCTAAAACTTTTATTATAACACAACCCGATATAACACGAATTCGGATACAACGTGGTAAAGCAGCGCTCCGAGGGAGCGAGGCTGCGCACTCCGGTGGATCAAAGCAAGTTTGATATAATGTGGTTTCACCGATAACACGGTAAGATTTTTTTGGCTCCCGAAGACCGTGTTATATCGGAGTAGAGGTGTACTTATTGTTATTATTTTCACTATACACTAGCATGACTGAGGGCAAAATTTGGCTCATTGGGGAAAAAACTTTTCTATTATTTTTCCCAACATGCCAAATTTTGCCCTCCATCTGAATAGCCCTAGCTCTTTTACTGGTCAGGTGGAAGATTTCTAGCACCTCCCAGGAGCGGGAGGGGGGGGATGCCAGCACATCAGCAGAACAAAAATGAGACCAACCCCATGAGCAATGCTCTGCCCCCCTAGAAGTTGGCACCCAGGGTGTCTGCCCTGATTGCATACCCCAAAAACTGACCCTACCCTCAGTTCTAGTGTAACTTCATTGAGACATTTGTGTATTTTTGATTGCAGAACTTGGCCCAGTGTCTTGTTACTTTCTGGTATGTAATTATCCCTCCATATTTAGTCCCATTTATTTTAAGTGCATTTTACAGTATTTTTCTCAATATAAAATCTAGGTAGAGTTTTTAAACATGCTTTCCACAAAGAATATACAATCTCTCATTAAAAACAGCTGCTATAAAATCTGCACTTTGATATACGTGCAAGAACTTGGTCACTAGTAAATAGATCTAGGGGAAATGCTGTCCACAATGTGGGCCTTACACGAGGTAGAACAAAAAATCCGTTTGTGTTGATGCATCGATGAGGAAATTCCCTCAGCACCGCGTGTACTCGCCGTTCTCTAATGTCCAAACCCACATCAGTGCAGAGGCCTCCTGGAGCATTCTTTGTGCAGTTCTTGTGTTTGAAAACCCAGGGGATGAGACTAAAGGAAATCAGCAGAGCGAAGAGCAACTTTGCAGAGACAGAGGAAAAAAACTTACGATCTTTCCGGACTTTAGTTGGGAAGTTGCTGATTTTGTATTAGTTCTAAAACTGGGCCCAGTTCATACTTCCTACCGCGCAAACGCCTGGTTGCTGTACCTTGCTCTCCGGAGCAGAAATGCAGCACCAGCAGGCTGTATTCAATTCCTGTTTCGCTGACGGGGCCCGCCCGGCCAGGAAGAGGCAGGGATCAGCTGCAAGAAGCACCAATTCAGCCTCACTCCCGGAAGCTGCCTGCGTCTGTGGGACCCTTAGCGAGCTCCGGGCTGCCAGTGCCTTCTCCCCAGTGTAATGTAACTCCCTGGAAAAGGCAAGGGGGCTGTACTGCTGCTGCCCTTTCCTGGGCTGAAACCTCTGAACACATCACATACCAGAATTTAGTTTTCTGTCCCCTCGCCTGGGGGATATTGTCTCTTCTCTCTGACAGTTTACACAGCTCTAATTTAGGTGAGTAACGCACACCGAGGCAGGTACTAAATACCCATCCCCATGTGCAAAGGAACGTGATTCTTTGGGGCTGTCGTGTACTCAAAACGGTGTTTACCCTTTGTATTTGTTTTGTAATAAACCCCACCCTTTGCTGGAGCTGGGGGTGTGGCTGCAGCCCCTGACTTGAAGTTGTTTCCATCATATACAGAGTTCACAGTTTGGTTCAGTAGCTCTCAATACCCCCTGCATACAAATGGTTCCACACCCCTTGCCACCCTTGTTTTAGGGTTGTCTGTTATAGGCTGCTAAAATCTACCTGTCTGCTATGGTAAATCTAGAGTTGGATTGCAATTTCCCTAAAGGTTGGGTTGGGAGAAGGATGAGGGGGTGTTTGGATTTTTATTTACACTAAAGCATTCCCCATTCAAAGCACCAGGGCACTGTATAATAATTTTCTAATAAATTATAGACAGTTAAAAAACCCACGCTGCCTTCTTAACTACAGGCAAACAAAAAGTAGACTCAAAGAGGACTGTGCACAGGAAAAAGGGAAGAGAGAAGGTTCTAAATATGGCAGTCAAATTAGTTATAATAAACAAATTTATGCCATTGACAGAGGATTTTAGCTACTTAAAAGTGGAGCTAGTGGTACTGTGATGGGTATCAAGGCAGAGAAGGAGAAAATGGGGTGAGATTATTGTAAGGATCCCCTCTAGCTTTCGTAGAATGAATTTATTTAAAGTTAGTTAAAACATTGCACCATGGCAATACAGCAAGAGCCGGATCCCTTGTCCACTGAACTCAATGCCAAAGCTCACATAGACTTCAGTGGTGCAAGATCAGGCCCCATGATAGGCAAATTCCAACATTTCATTTAGAATCTACCTTGAACAGAAGCTAAATGTAGTGTCAAATAGCTCTTGCAATGTGTGCAATGACTAAGGAATGATTAACAGCTATGTCTGTGAGGAAATTAAACTGAACATCTGCCTTCTGTCAATACTGAGATGTAACACTCACCTGTAACTTACATAAAATATATACTTTACAAGTATAAGTTTGTAGACAGTATTGCAACTTTGGACAAAATTAATTGAGATTTATTTTTGTTCTGAGACAAGATTCAGGTCTGTCACTTCAGAAAAATGGGGGTGGGCAGGCAAAGTTGTCAGCATAAAGAACCTTGCATGTGATTATGATATCCTGCAAAGTCAGGGGGTGGGACAGAAAGTGGAAGACATAATGGAGCATAGACACCTATGAAAAGGGGGGCACAAACTAAGATCAGGGCGGGGGGAATGTAACTGCCTCTCTTTCCCTATAGCAAATGATACCTCTGACAAGCTGTGGGTAGACTATCCAGGACCTGTATATTTTTGCTCCTTAAATGCACTGAGTCATGGCAACACTGTGACAGGCTCCTGTTTCAAAGGGGTCAGAGCCATAGTCAAGAACAGGTACAAGGGTTGAAGCCAGCCATAGAGTCAGGACCGGGCTGAGGGCCACATTGAAACCAAGGTAGGGGACCAGCCATGGATCAGAGCCAAGGTCAGAGTCCACAGACAAGCCAAATCAGGATCATAGTTGGAGTGGCTCAGTAACAGGGCTGGAATATGGTCAGAGTAAGGCATGGGCAAGATTGAAGCTAGCTGCAACAAGGCTGGGGCAGGACCAGGAACTGGAACAAGGGCAGGCTGAAAGCCTAGGGAGTCTGTAACACTGTGAAGCAGCAGTAGGGTTCCTGGCCAAGTAGTGCTGTTGTACAGAGTAAGGACTTGTCTATGCTTAAAATGCTGCAGTGAAGATGCTACCTGCACCAACGGGAGGGGTTCTCCTGTCGACATGGGTATTTACCTCCCCAAGAGGTGGTAGAGAATTCTCCCATCGACCTAGCTGTGTCTACACCAGGGGTTAGGTCAGTTTAACAACATCACTGGGGGGTGTGGATTTTCCCCGTAACTGAGCAATATAGTTATAATAACCTAATTTCCTAGCATAGACCAGGTCTAATTTACAGGTCTGGCAGACTCAGTAAAATACCTGTGCCTAGGGGTCATCTGACCCAGGTTCTGTCCAGGGATAAGCTGCTGCAGCATACCTGAGTGCTGAGTCACTGCAGGCTCTGCTTATGGGATGAATTGGTGCAGCATGCCTTAGTGATTAATAGGGATCCAGAAATGCATTTGCATGGGTGTGTGTTTTTTAAATAGAGAATCTGGCAGGGCTTGGGTTCTGGGCTGTCACCCCTGGGTGGTGGGGCTCCAGGCTGTCAATTTCATTTTAATCACAGAAAAATGTGGATTTTTATGTCTGGGGTTTTTTTTATTGGAAAACTTGGGCGGGGGGCAGTTATCACAGAAAACTAGGATCCCTGGTGATAAGTCACTGCAGGCTCTGCTGAAGCGGTGAGTCATGGTAGCTGAATGGGCAGCCCTGGTCTGGCTTCAGGTTGTCTCACACATTGTGAAACTTCTGGCTGAAAAAGTAGGGGGGAGAGGGAAGGGAAACAGTTCCCTCCTACCTACTCTTTAATAAAAGGACAGACTCATTTATACTAGAGATGGGTAGGTGAGCTTGAACCTACACTGTCCTCTGTTTTCTGGAACATGTTGCTAAACTGAGCCAACTCCCAAACCCTTGAGGGCCCTAAGGCTGCTGTAGGAGAACAGCAAATAGCAAGCTTGCTAGTAAGACGACTCCTCATAGGTTGCATTTTCTAAATAAAATTCAGAACATTTATTTTGATAATTACATTTGCCAGCAGGAAGTTAGCAATAACTTAGGGAAGGAATGTACAGTATGTTGGCTCTGGTATAGAGGATTAAAGGTGATTGCCTTAAAAAAACAAAGCAAACAAACTAGTCATAGAGTTTAAGGGCAGAAGGGAGCACCAGATCATCTACTTCCTCAAACTGTGGGGTGCCCGCTCCTAGGAGGCACGGAGGAATATTTAGGGGTGCATGCAGCAGGGGGTGGGGAAGGGAGCACCATGTTTCCAACCCAGCTCTGTCCCCAGTCTCAGTCCTCCCCCAGCCCTGTTCAGCCCCCAGTCCTGCTCTGCCTCTAGGCCCAGGCCAGCCTCCCAGCAGGGGCAGGAAGGGAGCACCATGCTCCCTATCCTCAGCTCTGCCAAGCTCCACTGCTGAGGAAGCCTTTGTTGTACAGTAATGGAGGGGGGATATGGACAGATTCTTTTAACTGTGACTCAAAAAGTTTGTGCACCACTGATCTAGTCTGACCTGCTGTATATCACAGGCCATCAACACCATTCAGCACCTGCACACCAAACCAAACCCAGCAACCAAAATTAGACCAAAGTATTACAGCTCACCATAGACTAAACTTTTACATGCCATGGGCAGAGAATAGGAGGGACCAAGGTGTCCAACCCTGAGGGCCCTGCAAAGGCAGGGTAATAAGTGAGATATACCCAGATGATCCATGCAAATGAACCGCACCCACATGCTGCCGAGGAAGGCAAAAACCCTTCAAGGTCACTGCCAATTTGACCTGAGGGAAAATTCCTTCCCAACCCCACATGAGATGAACAGTTAGACCCTGAGGATGTGAGCAAGAACCAGCCAGCTAAGCATCTCAGAAAGAGAAAGCTGGGTGCCATCCCAGAGTATAAACCTTTCCTGTCCAAAGCCCATCTCCAGCTGTGGTCATATCTAATCCTTCAGAAGAAGGAGGAAAAAAAGAAACCCACTGTAACTTTGGCAGACCCAGTGCCAGCTCATGCCAAAGCCCTGGGCCTCACTGAACACTGACAGATGTATAGCTGGAAATCAGTCTGGCTTACCTGTTTGTTCATATCTATAGAGTTATAAGAATGTTTTTAGATTTTGAGGAATGCTTGTACGATTCCGCATGTATTAATCCTACTTATAATATCTGTATCCCATGTTCTAAGGTAATGTTTGTTCTGTAACTATAAAAATGCCTTCTCAGGCCTTGTCTACATTATACAGTTTTGTCAATGAAAGTCAGGCTTTGTTGACAAAACAGTGGAGGTGTATACACAACAATGCTCCTCCCACTGATTTAACTCTCCTGCTATGCCAGCATAATACAATCACCTCAATGAGCAGCATAGAGCTTTTTACAACAAAGGCCTGGTCCACACTAACCCTCCACTTCAGACTAAGGTACGCAAATTCAGCTACGTTAATAACGTAGCTGAATTCGAAGTACCTTAGTCCGAACTTACCGCGGGTCCAGACGCGGCAGGCAGGCTCCCCTGTCGATGCCGCGTACTCCTCTCGCTGAGCTGGAGTACCGGCGTCGACGGTGAGCACTTCCGGGATCGATCCCAGAAGATCGATTGCCTGCTGCCGAACCAGGAAGTAAGTGTAGATTAGGGTTACCATATTTCAGCAAGCAAAAAAGAGGACGGGAGGAGCCCCGCCCCTG